GATAAGGTATACTTTAAACTACATTTCGGAATCATCTTCGAAGGATCCAAAATGAACAACTTTTGCAGAGGCACCTTTACGTACATGAAAGGAAGTACTGCCGTCATTTAACATGTAAAATGATAAAAATAACAACACTTTTTGCAAATAGCTAATTGATTTACGAAGCTGAAATCATTGGGGATGTCTCGTTAAAGATTATATTTCTGAATAAGCTATCTGGTATAAATATCGGCGTCCAGGGCTAAAGCGCGAAATTGTCCAAATGAAAGACGACGATATTTTTTTGTAAAATAAGATACTTCTGCAATTTGTGGGCCCTTATGATAAAGTTAAAATAGTGTCTCACAATGGACTCGAATCTTTATGATCGAAAATTGAGAAAATTGCAACTTATGGATATTAAAATATTTAGCCATCCAAGAATAGGAGGTAAATATTACATTTCGATTAGAATTTTTACATTTATTGACGTCTTCCACTTGTTGAGACTTCTTGAACATTCTAAAGCTGATCAATATTGCTTTACGAAGCAATTTAACACATATTAATGTCTATTATAATGCAAAATCAATGATAGATAAATTCGATCAAAATCGCTACAACCAGTGGCGTATAATGGACCTAGCATAACAAAAAATTGTTACTTTTCTCCAAATTAGCGACTTTTACCTTTCTTTGGAATGAAAAGAATATTCTAGAATGTAGACAGAATTGAAAGAATGTCATCGTAACGCGATAAAAGCATTATGAATGGAAACGAGAGATATTGAACGCATGTGCATCGTTTCATGACAGCTGCGACTTCGTGCAAATATGCCATTCTACAGTATACTTAATTCAAACTGAAAGTAAACAGGCTTTTATTGGTCTTTTTATGTAACATAGTTGAAATTATAATAACGCTATCAATAGTGATTGTATTTAGATAAAAAAGTTGCAAACTTACCAGTACCTTTGCTCTGGTCAGAGGAACATTCCTTATGTTCTTTCAGTTTTGTCTGCACCACAAGCATATCGTACAATGTACCAGCTATTACTGTACCCAATAATGCCGTCAAAATAAGTCTACAAACCAGAAACTAATTAATTTATTAATTTTCAATTGTTACATGTCCAAGGAGCAAGTACGATTGCTAAATGTCCAAGAAGCAAGTTCCACTTAGAATAGAACTTCCGATCACTAATCGCGCTTGCGTACATAATAATAATAATCTTCGCATTAAAAAATGATGCATAATCTGGCCTAAGATCCGAAACTCGGAGCAACTTCAGGTCCATCGAATATAGGCGATCGGCTAAAAGAAGCCTATCATCGAGTACCTTAGTCACCATTGTTGTTACTTCGTCTTCAGTGCAAGATGCGGGTAGGCAAAGTCCCAGAATTATCACATCCTAAAAAGAAGTTCTTTTTCAAACTACTGTTACGGCTTGATCTATCTAAGAATTTCGAGATCGTTTCTGTTCCAGTTAGTGTTTAATCCTTTGCACTTCTATGTCGAGTATGGTTCGACATTTCTCTTGGATCTCACAAATAATTCAGATTAATAGGTTGGCTGGATATGTACATTATCATTCATTTACTGCTTGTAATAAAAGAAATATGTATTTGTCACATAGTCCGCCCTGTTAGAATTCATTTTATTGAGAACCCTTTTTTTAATTTATCCTGTAAATTAGAGAGTCAGTAGATGAAAGAAGTTGAGGAGTGCAAAGGGTTAACATGGCGAACACTTGAAATTTTGAAGCTGCATTCAAAAGATAACTTCTCGTGATAAAACGTCATCGTTAATGTTTTTCATAAACCAATTTCGTTACTGCAAAGAAAGAGTCATTCATACAAGCACTGTCTATATATCCACTGGCTTACTTCTCGAGACATCGAAGTATGACGATACTGTATGGTGCCACGTTCATGAATGTATGCACCAAAGAAGTTGAGCTCATACGGCGGATACTCATCGGCTGGATTGCGAAAACGTGAATTGTTCTTAGCATTTTGTGGTGAATACACAAACGGCAGCTTCTGGCTAAGAGATTCGCACTGTACCCTGTTACCCATCCAAAAATTATTTCCAAGAATGTATCCAGATGATGGTTGCCCACTTGTGTCCAACACTTAAAAACAAGAGATGTAACTATTGAGAAGCTGCTTCTTGAGCAAAGGGAAGAATGTCGGTAATTACGATAGCGAAATGAAAAATGTCGTAAACGAATTGGTTCGAGATGAAGCTACGAGTTCGAATCCTATTCACCTACTCTCCTAACAATTTTTACGTATTTGTTTCTTTTTCTTTCTCATTGATGTAGTTGTAGTAATTGATAATTTTTCCCAATAATGCAGTTGTAGCAGTTGAAAATTTACCGAATATAAATTTTTACTAACTTTTGAGACTCCATAGTATCCGGCGGTCTACCGCATCGCGAAATTGCTCCAATTCCGTTCGGCATCTGGTTCTATTTAGCTGTTCGATAGTGCTGATCACTGCATAACCAGGCATGTTTTCCATCAATGCTAAATCTAATGCGACCCCATGAATCAGTGTACACAGATACATTAGCACAATTATCCCAATCCACTTGTACCTCATTGTGTGTATAATTTGTTTTAGTGAATGTCACGTTCCTTGTTTGCCGATACAATTTATATAACGTAACTAAAATTTGTTAGCAGTAGAGAATTTTGATTCTGACATGGGTCTGCCTTGGATCGAATCAGGAACTATGGTCACGGAAAGAGTAACACTTTGAAGTGGAAGCAGAACAAATGTAAAATAGGACTATTGTGCAGGGCTTATATTATCTACGTCACTATATTAAGCTTGTAACAATTTTTTCGACAGCGCACATTTCAAATCATCATTTTACTTTTAGAATAAATACATTTTCTGCGAGATGCAAATATTGCTGGAAGCACGTTGCGTTCAAGGATGCACAGTTGTATGAGAAACTGCTAATCATGTTTGAACAATACGGATTTAGAACTCGAACTATTTATTCTGCCATTGTCCGTAAAACATAGACTATTCTTTTCCATTGTTCAGACATTATTTTTACATTGAACCTGAAATATGTTCCAGTAATTGAAACATTTTTGCAACAACCTGATCTATTAGTTATTTTTTAAAACGATTAATAATATAAAAATGAGTTACAAACTCAGTATTCTGTGCATTCTGTGCATTCTGTCCTGTTACATCCCATTTAAACTAGAACTATCTCATTAACATGTTTAAAACATTTTCATCCGAAAAAAGTTGATAGCAAAAAAGTTACAGATTCAGTAAATAGATTATGTCATATTTCATCTCATTTAAATCAGAATAATCTCATTAACATGTTAAAAACATTTTCATTTGAAAGAAGTTAATAGCAAAAAAGTTTAAACGCTGTTTTCAATATAACACTTGATGAGCAGGGATTTGAATCTCCTTGACTTGCTTTTCATCCTTGATATCTACTCTTCGTCATTTTCTTTGGCAAACTACGAGCTGCAAGGCTCGATTTTCGATTTTTTCCATTTCGATTCCGGGCTAAGGGACAATGTGACCGACATTACTGTAAGTGCTGCATGTACATTGCTATGTTTTCAGACTACTGTAGCGTGTTTCCCTATTTACACATGATGTAGCAACTTGCAAGTTGATTTGTTGGGACACGGGCTGAATGTGGCAAGGAAACAGACTGTCTTATAGTAGCACTATGAAACTGTCGGCGAAAAGACACTTCGTTATGTCTGAACTAAGCATTTAACGTGTTAACATGGAATTTAATTTTAAAAATCTCTTATTAGATACACAATTTAGTTTTTAAAATTCCTCGTCAGGATGTATGTATAGTTAAAATTAAGGAATGACGAGTATACATCGAACGCCAGACAAGTGCACTTAATAAATTTGATAAACTTAATAAATCTAATAAATTTCACGAAAAAGGCAAAGTAAAAGGTAGGATTATATTTTTATTTCGTGAAATATTAATATTTAGTTAATGTTAATCGTATTGGAATAAAATTTTCAATTAACGTATATACATATACGCCAAAAGCAGACACTATTATGTATAATAAAAAAGAAAACAATTATGCAGTATAATTAGCAACTTGTCTTTCTGGTCATAAATTGAAAAGATAAGAAATGTACGAGATGATAAATACACATAAATTTTTTTTAATTCAATTAGAATAGCACATTAGTTTCCACGTTAATTAGTTCCACTCTTTAGTTCAGGAATTAAAGGCAAGCTCACATAAAGATTTGTAAAATACAGTTTTGGAGCAACATGTCACACATCTATGACATTCAATTGAATTCAAAGTTAAGGTATGAGATGGCCTAATCTGTAAGATTGAATATGAAATCTTCAATGTTCAAAAATCCGAAGCCAACTAGGTCACTGTGAGATGTGATAAGTGGTTTTACGACAGTTGTTAAAAATTTGTAAACTTATGCAATCTTTGTGGAAAAGTTGTATGCAAAGAAAAGAAAATCTCCAAAACCTATTCTTTACCTGAACTGACACAGCTTGAATCATGTGTCATCTCGAACGAATAGTTCGGGTTAGTCGATTTTATGCATGGGATGCAATTTACTTTCTTTCCGAAAAAACCTTTGATTATTTTGGTATTCCCTGATATTACAATCTTATAAATATTCATTTCATTTTAATTTCAAATATATTTTTTAATATCGGTTAAAATAACGATATATCAATCGTTCTTTACAAAATAGTCTGCCACTTTACACTTTTCTGTGCTTCTAAATCGATTTTCTCTGAATACAATTTACACTAAATAAATTTCAATTTCAATAAAATTATTAAAGGAACTTAAAGTTGTACGCAAGTGATTTATCATCTTCTAAATTTATTCTTGCGGAACAGGAAGTATTAGTATAAGAACCCTTCGATCTATTCGAGGATTCATAATATTGAGTGGATAAACCTCCGTCTGAGCGGTATTGGACTAAAGAGAAGTAAGAAGCCGGTTATCGAATTTCCAGGTAGAGGAATATTTTTTAACGAGGCGAAAACTTTTCTCGTCTGGTGCAACGAGGAGGATCACTTACGTCTGATATCGATGGAAAAGGGTGGAGATCTGTCGTCTGTGTATGCCAGACTTGTTAAAGCAGCTACTGAGATCGGGCAGAAGCTACAATTTTCGCGGCACAGAAGACTCGGTTTCCTCACATTTTGCCCGACTAACTTGGGAACCACCATCAGGGCGTCCGTTCACGCACGCTTGCCGAAATTGAGTGAGGATTATGCCAGATTTGAAGAAATCGCAAACATGTACCATCTTCAGGTAAGAAATAAAATATCCTAGCTCTTTCTATGTTGATTATGATGCTCAATATATATCGTTCATTTTTAGTTGATTATTTTTGTGTAAATAGGTGACCGAATTATTGTAATCAAGAGATTTCTTTTTAATAATGTGCAACGAACGCGATTTTATTTAATTTATGTTAGTAGTACTTGTTATATTAATAAGTTGCAATGTATAAATAATGTGCTATCATTTGCTGTGAGTAATATGCTATCACATGAATTTTCTTGAAGCCAAAAAAATATTTTAAAATTCGTAAATGAAGTCTATTTTTGACGAAGTGCTTAAAAATTGCCAACTTTGAAGGCTTGTTATTTCTTAACAAATTCGAAATAGGTAAATGACTTAACCCCCCCAATTTCCCGTGGACTATAACATATTCTGATTACAGCAAAATTAAAAACAAAACTCAAAGCTTAGCAAATATTTTTTAATTTGTTAGAATAAATAAAGGTTTAGGAGAAAATTAAATTGCACCGCGTGATAAAGCAGACGATTTTCTATGAAAAGCATCAAAGGAGATTGTTCGTCTGCCTCAGTGTTTAACGTAGAAATGGAATTAATTTGGTAAACATGCGGGGTCAGCAGTAGTACTCATTTGTTGAAATCGATAAAATATGTATTGGATTAATAAGTATAAAACAGTTTTTATTTTTATGTAGATACCATGAGTGATTTGGAGAAAAGAAATAAATAGCTGTGCAATATGCCATCTGTATGTCACGAAGACAAATTACAAATTTTTGAAAATTGCACCAAATAAAATTTATAAATAATTAAATCTTTGACATCTTTTATCGACAGTGAATGTTTCTTTCTTGTTTAACAAAGTATAGGCAGTTAAAGATTACTGCACAATTAAAGGTTAAAAGTTAAAGGCTACTGCACAAATATGGCGAATGTAAGAGTACCTTCGACATTAAGTTGATGCTGAAAATTTATTAGGAAATCTTGTCAGAAACAATTAAAATGTCATATGATTTTGTTGAAAAAAACTTTTATTATTTTTGTTATAGTAAGTAGGGTTATGTTTGTTTACAACGCTAGAAGTATACATGCGCCGGCCATGATTATTAGTTGATACGCTGATGTATTAGATTTAGATACTGCTTTGAAGGAAAAATTGTTTTATTATATGATGTAACTAGATTTTCTTCTAAAACTTTGGTTTCTAAAAAAAGTAAATATCGACAAATCTATGTTTAGTTTGTGAATATAATAATTGAGCGTAATAATAACGTCATTTTATTTTGGAGGATTCATGGAATAATTTTATACGAAAAACAGTCGACTAATTTGTTACCGTTCAAACATCAAACATCTTCAAGTTTCAAATTTTACATTTTTTCTAAAAAAAAACTAAGACGATTTGCAGAATCAAATTCAATACACGAAAGATTATAAAAATTATTTAATAATTGTGATTTAAGAAAAGGAGTTAAAATTTATTAAATATTACAGTAACGACTCGAGTTATTGATTGATGGTTATTGCATGACTTGTGATTCAAGATTTCATTATTATTTCCTCCTAGAAAAATATTTTAGAATTTTATTGGAATATTTTAGGTATAATATAGGCGAAGGTTATTTTGGGTTACCAACCCGGATAATACGCCAGGGTCATTTAAAGTTTATAAATTATAGAACCGTCATTTTGATATTGCATCACTGCAAAAGTATTTAAACTAATTTAGGAGTTCATCAAAAGTTTAACAGCTCAGATAATACGGAACTTCGGTTAAACGAGATTGTATCAAAATGTTTCAGGTACAATGAGTATAAAAAGTACTCCTACACCAATTAATTTTAATAAAAATTGTATTTATTATTCAATAGTTATACAACAAATAATGTTTATATACCAATGAAAATCGTTAAAATATATTTTGCATAAATACTGACTGATTTCTGTTTTGTATAGAGTTCGTTAATATAGAAAATATTGTACATCACTATCTAGAAGAAATATGTTCCAATCAATACAAGAATTATATTTTAATTTTTTTTATACCCTCAATACGGTACAAACAAATTCATAAGGGTAAAATACGTGTAAAATCGGCGAAATATGTGTGCGTTGCCATTTTAAAAATTTAACCAGTTAAGTGTGTTTGACGACTATATCCGTCATGGAGATGTGGCAACATTTTGTGTCATGACGACTATATCCGTCATGCGTAAAATTTTGTTACAATTTGATATTTAAATTGTAATTTTGGCGAAAACTAAATTATATTCGTACATTGTAATATGTTTAAAATGTTTAGAGGTCAACACGAAATGAAATAAACAAATAAAAAGTGTAAATGATTTGAGATGGATTCATAAATTCTTGAAAGCTAACTTGTTATCGCTTGATTATCGCGACACACACTGGTGCGCGCTTTGCAAAAAGATCGCTACAGTTAACTGGTTAAGAAAGTGGAATAAGATACATAATTTTTATGATTTGTCAGCTTTCATTTATTTTTTCGTCATTAAACCTCATTTCACTATTTCGGTTGTTTGAATGTTAATTATGACATAAAGCCGTTAATTTTTGTCATATTTATTTTACATGTAATAAATATATCTATGCATTTACTATAAAAAGGATATATTTTTTATATTTTAATTATGATATAGGATCGCTAATTTTTGTTACATTTGTTTTACACGCAGCAAACGTATTTATGCATTTACCATAAAAATGATATACTTTTTATATTTTGTTCATTTTTACGCCATTCTTTCAACGGCGTAAAAAGACTGAAAAGACGAGACATATTAAAAATTTTTCGAGTACCTGCATTGTTCGCTGTTTTTTATCGGTGAATGCATACATAGTAGTAGAATATGTCAATTGTAGCATAAATTTAACCGAAGTTTCTTTATGAATATCTCTAAAACTAACAGTGAGGTCGAATGCATAGAATTTTTGTATGAATAATAAAAGATTATTCATAATGTTGTTCATGGTACATGTCTCAAGGTTATTCAAATCAATGAAAACATTCACTTTATACATACATAGATGTGGAAATATATATAATCTTCAATTTTATACATACAGTATTTTGCAATTAGTTCAAGAGTGCAATACCAGAATTTTCCAAATTGAAACTTTTTAAATTTCTAAATAAGAAACCGCAAAGTTCTTTATTTTCCAGTTGATCTACCACCGTCGTTTCCAATCAAATGTATGTACATATGTGTAATGCAATTTAAATACGTATACATACATGTAATACAATACACATACATATATGCATAATGTTGCATCGCCTTAGAGTGCGATGCAGCTATTTTTTCATATATTTACAAGGCAATAGACCGAGGATCTCAAACTGACCGTACAGGCAATAAGTTTATGAAGCCATTGACCATTTTTCGTTAGCAAAAAATACCTAAGTGGAATAAGATACATAATTTTTATGATTTGTCAGCTTTCATTTATTTTTTCGTCATTAAACCTCATTTCACTATTTCGGTTGTTTGAATGTTAATTATGACATAAAGCCGTTAATTTTTGTCATATTTATTTTACATGTAATAAATATATCTATGCATTTACTATAAAAAGGATATATTTTTTATATTTTAATTATGATATAGGATCGCTAATTTTTGTTACATTTGTTTTACACGCAGCAAACGTATTTATGCATTTACCATAAAAATGATATACTTTTTATATTTTGTTCATTTTTACGCCATTCTTTCAACGGCGTAAAAAGACTGAAAAGACGAGACATATTAAAAATTTTTCGAGTACCTGCATTGTTCGCTGTTTTTTATCGGTGAATGCATACATAGTAGTAGAATATGTCAATTGTAGCATAAATTTAACCGAAGTTTCTTTATGAATATCTCTAAAACTAACAGTGAGGTCGAATGCATAGAATTTTTGTATGAATAATAAAAGATTATTCATAATGTTGTTCATGGTACATGTCTCAAGGTTATTCAAATCAATGAAAACATTCACTTTATACATACATAGATGTGGAAATATATATAATCTTCAATTTTATACATACAGTATTTTGCAATTAGTTCAAGAGTGCAATACCAGAATTTTCCAAATTGAAACTTTTTAAATTTCTAAATAAGAAACCGCAAAGTTCTTTATTTTCCAGTTGATCTACCACCGTCGTTTCCAATCAAATGTATGTACATATGTGTAATGCAATTTAAATACGTATACATACATGTAATACAATACACATACATATATGCATAATGTTGCATCGCCTTAGAGTGCGATGCAGCTATTTTTTCATATATTTACAAGGCAATAGACCGAGGATCTCAAACTGACCGTACAGGCAATAAGTTTATGAAGCCATTGACCATTTTTCGTTAGCAAAAAATACCTTCGCGTCGGCACCTAAGTTTACTGCTTGGGACCAGCATGTTTAATTTCCTATTCCGTTATTTTCAATCATCATCGTCAGGGTCAGAGTGCTTTTTCACCTTATTACCTGCTACGGGTTTTTTCCAAATCGCGGAATCCCTCGTGCGTTACCTCTTGGTCGCGGCTACTTCCAGGGGTGACCATTTCTTGTACGAGGGAGGTGACCATTTCTTACGAGGGCGGTCACCTCTCAAAAATCAACGACCAATGGACATACACATCCCCTTCCAAATTACCGATTCCGAGGTAACATCGATAGCCACTTTGGCGAAAGACGAGAGAACACGATAATATCTCATACAACACATATCTAAAATCACGAACAGAACTCAGTAATATCACGAACAACACGCATCTAAGTCGTGAAACGAACATAGTAGTACCTCATACAACACACTTTGAATCACGGACTGAACGCTTTTATACATCGAATAATAAACACTTTTAAACACGAACCGAATCGACTAAGATTTCGAACAACGAACGTTATAACACGAACCTTAATCGAATCATTACATCACGGCTATCTATTAAAACCAGGCTCAGAGCTCGTTAAATCGTGACTGGGTCAGAATAGT